GTGTGTGTGTGTGTGTGTGTGTGTGTGTGTGTGTGTGTGTGTGTGTGTGTGTGTGTGTGTGTGTGTGTGTGTGTGTGTGTGTGTGTGTGTGTGTGACACAAGGGGAAGGACAATCATCTTCATGGGTAACAAAGAGAATACACTTAATTTGTTTGCGCTTAATTAGAGATGAAAAAACGAAGTTTCTCAATTTTATTTTTGAATTAACATTAGCTTCTTCATTTTCTAGATAACAAGTCACTTAATTCCGTCTTCCTCTCTAAAGATCTGTCTCTCTATCACTTCTTGACTTTGCTTTACCGCCATGCCATTAACATCAAAATATCACCACAGTAACACATATGTGATTTATTCCTCACCTTTCTTTCTTTCTTGTTTTTTCCTCATTTCTTCTGTAGTTTCCTGGCTAAGCGTGGTGTGAGGGAGGACATAACAACATTTGAGGTGAGGAACATCACCCCTGAGATTCGCCAGAGTGTGGAAGAACTGCTCAACAGGAACAAGGCCTCCTTCGATCCCAAGGTCAGTTAGCCACAATAGCAGAATAAGAATAAGATGTATGGTAGCTGGAAGTAATTAACCTCTTGTTCCTTTTGTATTTCTTAGCTGAAAATAGTAATGTAGCTTTTGTGACTTATTGCTTTTGTTGGTCAGAATGCAAAGCGTGCGAGTGCAGCAGCTGCTCCCCTGGCCGCCTGGGTCAAAGCCAACATCCAATACTCCCACGTCCTAGAGAGGATCCAGCCACTGGAGAGAGAGCAGGCCGGACTACTGGAGTAGGAAAACACACACACACAAATACCACTATGCTATAATAGCACCACACACACACACACACACTTATTCATCATAATTGTAGGCAAAGAAAATCGATTTCATGCATGCTTGTAATTGAGCTTTTGGTCTTGGTCTTCACCTGGCAGCTCGTATTCATTTTCTCTCAAAATAAATATACAGACCTAACACTTGTTATTGTGTGTGTCCAGAAACATGAGGAAAACGGAGAGCAGGAAGAATAAGCTGGAGAACCAGCTTAACTCTGTCGGAGCCAAAGTCAACGAGCTGAAAGAGAAGTATGCCTCCTTCTAAATTTCAAATCAAATCAAATCAGGTTTTATTTATATAGCACATTTTAAAAACGATTTTTGGTGGAGCCAAAGTGCTGTACATGCAATAAAAAACACTTTACTTCGATAGCAAACAGAAGACAATAAATGACAACAGCAAATCTAAAAATCAAACACAGGGAAATGTCATGAGTCGTGCTCCGCTCTGACTAGAAGGCCAGAGAGAAGAAGTGAGTCTTCAGTGTTGACTTCCCATCTATTCTTCCAGCGTTGAATCCTTCCATTCTGTATTTCACCAGTGACAAAGTCTAAATATTGCCTTATGACTAAAACAAAGACATTCAATTAGAGACAGCACAATAAATGGTTCCTTTTGTTTCATGGCATGGGCAGAACCAGGACTGGTGAGGTGTCACTTACTTCAAAGCTTTGGTGAAAAGCAGGAATCTTTGGAAATGATGAAGCTTTTAAGAAACTTCTGAAGCTCGGCTTGCAGGCTAGATTTCCACAAACAAATCTAGTAGTTGCCTTGACTTACTGCCAGCCATGCAGGATCCCTTCCTCTCTTTGACCATGTAGTTATACCAAGGATACAAACAATCAATGATAACGGGCCACTCTCTTTTGCCTGGACATCAGCCAGTTCTTTTCTTATAAGGACATAATGAACAAAGGTAAACGTCCCTCTACAAGTGTGACTGAGCGATCATTCCCTGCTCTTTCCTCCAACATGTTCAACCTTTGCTCTCTCAGACAATCTGTCTTGCCATTTGACTTAGTATCCAACCCTATTTGTACAATGACTTCTTAACTGTGTTAGTCAAACTGAAAGATGTCTCACTTGCCCCGGCCATTCCTCCCCTCTCTTCTTGAGTAGTCTCTTGGCACCATTCCTCACTTTACCTCACCTCACCTGTCCCAACAACGCATTATCCAGATTTGTATTTTGAAAGGCACAGAAGTAGCTACAAAAGCTTTACACAACAGAGAAATAATTAAATACATGTTTTCAATCTATTTCATCTAGCCTGGGTAGATGAAACAAATATCACAATGTCGAGCTTGAAAATCTCCAATGATTCCACATCAAAAGCATTTACACATGTTTTTCTTCCCCTTCTTTTTATTCTTTATCTCAGGTTTCAGTGTCACACTACAGAGGCGGCTAAGTTGGAGGCTGAGGTAACAAAAGCTCAGGACACGATCACTGCCGCCCAGCAGCTCCTATCACAACTGGAAGGAGAACACACACGGTGGAACGCACAGGTAGTTTGACGTGTCTGTGTGTATTGGTGAGGGAGGTTATACGCATTTACTAAGAAAGGGGCACATTTAACATGTAAGAGCAACAGGAGCTGTGTGTGCGTTTTTGTGTGTGTGTGTGTGTGTGTGTGTGTGTGTGTGTTAGTGTGTGTGTGTGTGTGTGATGATAGGGGGGATGTATCCTGCTGTCTTTGGTCCCTTCTGGCTGTTTTTACTCCTCTCTGCAGCATCTGTCTGCGCCTTAATTAAAACACTCAATCTCTTGCTGACACGCACACTTTGCGCACACACACACCACACACCACACACAGCACACAACACACACACAACAGACACATCACACACACACACACACAACAAACACACACACACACACACACACACACACACACACACACACACACACACACACACACACACACACACACACACACACACACACACACACACACACACACTCACTGCCTCCCTCAAGGTCCGCACCCACCAAAAGCCAGTTAACTCCCTTCTCACGTATCTCCATATCCTCACACTACACATTTCCTCCCCAACACTTTTGCACCCTGTGCAGAAGCTGTGGTTAGCTATATGTTGATGCCTTTAAGTTGTTAAAAGTGTTTCAAGGGCACATGGGGAGAGGGGTAAACAAGAGAGTGAGCGAGTACAGACTGAGTGGTGCATAAATAGAAGGATGTTTTGAGCTAAGGTATTGGGTGTATCATGATGTCTGACAGTATTACACCAGAGATCGCATGGTTATGAAAACCGGCAGCCACAGAGATGGGGGCATTCAGGGTCATAAGGCCTTTCAATTAAGCCTGATGCATAGTTATTCTCCAAAAATTGCTTGTAATCAACTGGCATGCTGATAGACTCAAATGAATTCCGGCTCAACATAGAAATCATAACATTACATGATCTCATAATAACAAGTGTGTGCCTGTGTTACTGCATTTGTGTTCTAGTCAGAGTCAGTGTAGACTTTTGGGGGTAGAAGTCTGGGTTTCGTGGTTCATCAGAGGAAACGCATGCAATGCCCACGAGGGTCTGGTTACTTACCTTTCCCTTCTTTTATCCCTCTGATTCCTCCGAATCCCCGCAGTGCCCTCCCCTCTCTTATCTGTTAATAATAATCTGTTCTTTCACCCCAATCCCCTACTCTCTTTTTGATCAGATGTCTGAGATAAAGAATGAGTTGGAAACGCTCCCTATGAGGGCCATGCTTGCTGCAGCCTTCATCACCTACCTCTCTGCAGCATCTGAAGACCGCAGGAGACACTGTCAAGAGACATGGATGGCTCAATCCGGACTACAAAGTAAACATACAACTACTTATACATAGCTAACGACACACTAGCACCAGACACACAAAAAGCACACTACTTCCTCCTCTCCTTAACTCTAAGTGTCAAAATAGCTTGATCACCATTTAACTAGTTCACTATTGAACATTTAACACTCTAAGAATACAACTTCACTCAAGTAACCCAACATTGCAACTGTATTTAGCAACACAACAAGTGCAAATGTCAGGAATTCACACACTCATTAAGCATTACAGAATTGAATAATCCTGTTTTTCAGAACTGGATTTGACTTCTCATCTGCCAAGCATAATCACCTTCATTTGTCAGCCTTCCAAAAGTCCCTCCACACAAATGAACCTGTAAAATGTGTGAAAGTCTCTTTCAGCACTAATTATTGTCTTATTAATAGCTCCTTCCACATTATTCCGCTTGGCAACCTCGTTCCCAGGGGGCTTCAGATGTGCATGTTAAGAGCTGAGTCAAGTTGACCCACTATCATTTTTTTAAATCCTTTTGTCCTTCCAATGGCTTCTCCACAATGTAGGTGTCAAGATAACTTAGTGAACCCACTTAAAGCGTATTATACTGTGTTTAGGCACAATTGATGAGGCTTGTTGTCAGTAACTGTCATATCACAGGATTGTTTTTAGTGGGCAAAAAGAAAAGCAACAAATCATAATCTGCATTTGTGTGTTGTTTGTTTGTTTCAGAGTTTGACTTGCGTTCATTCCTGTGCTCGGAGAGTGAGCAGCTGATCTGGAAGGGTCAAGGGTTGCCATCTGATGACCTCTCCATGGAGAATGCACTGGTCATATTACAGGTTAGACATCCATTTGTCACTCGGTCTCATTTTGTTCATTTTTCCACTTTTGCTTTATTTCCCTTGATAACAATTCAGATTTTTCACAGAAGGATCTATTGTAATGTAGACTTAATGCAATGTAATCCCCAACATCCATCTCCTTCTGCAAAGTTAACTTTTTTCTATTTCTATATTAGCTTACAGTAAGACTCATGCTCTCATGCATTAAAAAAGACATCAAAGTACAATATAAATACAGCACTCTCTTGTAAGAGCCAGTCTCCATATTAATAGTTTTGTCAATAATCTTTCCCTTGTTGCCATTCATCTGTCTTCCATTTGTCTGTAATGTGTTTTGTTTTCACCATTGCTGCATCAGATCAATGCACTCAAGCTACGGGTAAGAAGCTGTTCCATCATTCTTCCTTATAGCTTAGCGTAGCCTCCCTGTTTCTCTCACTGTCTGCCTGTGTGTTCCTATGTTCTAGTTTCTTTATTATTGTTGTTTCATCTTCTGTATACACTACCAACAAAATGTGTATGGCAGTCATTCACATTAACACAAACACCAATATGCAAAAACCAAGATGACCTTTATCTGTATATTTATTAGACAACCTAATCATCTCAATCAATTAGCCTATTTGGTACAGATCTACAAAGGGGGTTAATTGCAGCAGTTTCTCACTAATATGTCAATGTATGCTGTGATGTACTTAGTAGTGATTTGAATTTGAAAGCAAATGTATATTCGGATATTCGACCCCCAAAAAAAAGGTTAACCGATTAACCGAAATGTACATATCTTATACAAAAATAAAAAAAAGGGTGGGAAAAATGTTTACAAAAAAAAGATTTAATTTTGAAAAATAAATAAGTACATGTTCAAATAAGTATAGAAACCAAGTCAAATTTGTCAAATGTATTGAACTAGTGATCACAGTTTGAACAGTTGGCAGCTATAGGCCTACAGCTTTCATGCTTAAAACATAACTTGGTTTTTAAATTAAAGAGGGATCATGCACGAACACAACGGGTTAGGGTAACGTAACCCTATTACAACAGAGATCAACAACCTATAACAGGGCCTATCACAGAATGCAGCTATTCAATACTCATTCTTGTTTAGGAATATGAGCATGTCTACTCAGGGGAGAGGCAGGTGCGGAGGCAATTCACAATCAGGCCAGCTGTAGAGAAGACCCTCTCAGCTGGAATTTGGGCATAAGATGAGGTTTGAGTCTGCGTGATCTGCGAGTAGGGAGAGGGGCAGCACATATCATATCTAGAAACTAGCTGGGTGTGGATGGATTGGACATAAACGCGACGTGAATTATAACCGGACGTGGGAGAGAGAGATCAGCACCTGCAGCTCTGCCCTGCTGTGAGGGACCGGTGAGCGGAGCAAAACACACTTTTAGCTATGGCACTTCTATACATTGAATTATTCCATTTGATAATATGTAATTCAAAAAAAAATATTATTATAAATATTTCATATTCTCATATTTCGAATACCTGAATCGTTTCAAATATTATGAATATTCGATGAATTGTTCCCATCCCTAATACTTAGGTGCTGTTATACAGGAAAACGCAAACGGTCGTATCTGCTACTTTTCTCTTTCGCATGCCCGTTTGTTCCACACGGGGAGGCCGTAGCGGAAACGGGGCCCGCAAACTGATAAAGGGTCCAAGTGGATAGATCTGCATCCGGAACGCTCTGGGGGGGCAAAACGGGGCTCCTTATGTACGGCCCTATTACCAGGGCTATTTCAATTAATTTGGAATGGGGGTCCGGTGATGAAAATGATCAAAGCAAGGCCGGGAAAAAAATGGTTGAAATATGAGCAATCATATTAAGAGCTTTAGATACAGTAAATATATATATTTTGTTAATTAAATCAAACATACACCAAGGCCTTTATAAAATGGGCAAGTCAGAAACTCAAGTACATGTGAAGCTAATATAACCATTACATCATTAGATTTAGTACTTAAATTGATCGAATAATTCCACAAATAGCAATTTAGGGGCCATACTCAACAACAGTGGACATATTAATGGTATAATAACAATAAAGACAAGTGAGCATTACCACATCAATTGCTTAATAAAAAGCAAAAACAATTATCAAAAGACTTGTATTAATTTACCAAACACAACACAACAGCTTTTGAAAACTCAAACGCTTTTATTGATTAACATAGTGATAACTGACATCAAGTATTGCAACCAACTGGCAGATTATATGCCATCTAATGAGAGAAATGGGCCATTTTTCGATTTAGCAAGAGCCAGGGAAAGTCCTGGGATGTATTACGATTGGTCATTGGGCAATGACGCATACAGTGATGCAGATGCTGGTCAGTGAGGGATGCTCGATTATTAGTTTTATGGCATTCATGTGTGGAGAATGCCGATTCGACACGTGTAAGTCAGCAACATTTGTGAGGACAAAAAGTGCAAGACCCCTTGAATGGAGGGAATTCTCGTGGCTGGACTTCATGAGTCCAGAACTTTTCAGAACCTGCCAGCTGAAAATGACTGCGGCGGTTCATCTGATGATGAATGTCAATGAGTTCGAGTTGTAAAGACGCCTCATTTAATGTCACAATCAGCTCCTTTGCTTTCGTGCAAAACTCCCCCTCTAGGATTTCACAGAGAAAGGGTCCTTCACAAATCTCATCACTTCAGGATCGGGAGACTGAAATTCGTTCAAACCTCGCGGCAAAGTTGGTTTCAATGCGTCCCATAAATCCAGTCATCACCTCGGTGGATTTGTAAACTGCAGTGCGCGTGTTGGAAAAATGGTAGCATTTTGCGCTGGGATCATAAATCCACAAAAAAAAGTGTTTTCGAGCTGTTTTTTGAACGCATGGAAGTTCTCTCCACAAGTTGTGTAACCCCTTTTATCTCCTGCCCTGACAGCTCCAAATTGTAGGTTGGTTCAGTATGTTGGAAAACTGTCGCTCAAAAAGCAAACGCAGCGTTAAAACTCATCATTCTCTATCCTAGACACAGAAAGGCGTTGGCTTTTTTATGTTTTGAATTGTCGGGAGAATACCGCCATGATCTCCTCCTAAGTCACGAAGGAATCTTTTCAAGACGTTTCCTGTTGTTAGCCATCAATTGTCACTGTGCATGAGCAAATCATTATATCGAGCTGACATGTCTGACAACATCTGGCGGAAAGGCGGTGCTGTTAACTGATGTTAACATGCACGATAATATAACGTTAATTAAATCGCTAAATGACTACACAGTCATTGTGTTTTTATAACTCAATCCTACCGTTGTGTTCTCACAGGCAGCTTTGTCTAAGATGACTAAAGCAAATGTCATTCAGCAATGATCTCAGCTGGTGCAGGCATCCATCTGTCCAGTACCTAGCGGACAGTCCCTGTGTTCGACTTACGGCTCCGGACANACCACTCTATCATGTAAAGTGGGTGTGGGAGAAGTTATTGATTCTTCACTAAAGCCAGTGGTTGCTACATAAAAAGCAGACCACTCTTTATGTAGGCAATTTATCTTATGTCATTTTGAAGACTTTTGTCTGAAAATGACTTTTGTTAATGGGTGCAATCTACTCTGCAGCTTGACATTAGCTACCAATTGGGACGTTTGAGCAATGGGCAGTCAAACGCTTCGCTCTGTGTTCCATGAAGGATTAGTCGTAATTAGCCAATATATATAAAAAACATATATAATTACAAAAAAAAAATAGTTTGAGCCTAATTCAGTCCGAATTCAGACATCTTAAATACGTTATTGAACATTCCTATGTATTACTGTATATACAATTAGCATTCAGATGTGCTTTGTTCAGCTCTGACTATTCTATTTTATAGATAAATGCTTAAACAATTCTCCAATAAGAAATAAGAAATGAATCTGCCCTTCTGATTTACCTTACGTGTGATATTTCAGTTTCTTGGCTAAAATAACTGCATACCAATCACAGCTGTGGGCAAGTGTAAACAGAGGTTAGCCATACCTGTGAAAATGAGGGTGATTCATGGGGCTCTGAATCATCCGGTGGGAGGCGGATGTCTATTTGAAGCTAAATTGGAAAGAGTGGGTGCAGAGAAAGTGTAAGAAAGGGCAAGTTATCCACTTAAAAGTAGTGTCGAACAGGATGGAAAAAAAGAAGCAAGACAAAGGCATGGCAGTACTGCATTGCAGACATCGACAAGACAGAGAGTGGAGGAGAAAGTAAAAGGGTGACGATGGGATTCAAAGTGAACACTGTAGAGAAAGTAACAAGATTGCATAATAGAGTATATGTTGCTGACAAAGAGTTTTTCTCTCTGCCCAACACATTCACACACAAACACACAAATGCAGGTCCCCGATATGTCGTCCAGATAGGAGAAAAGGTCATCGATTACAATGAGGACTTCCGTCTCTTCCTGGCAACACGTAATCCGGCCCCCTTCATCCCCCCCGATGCCGTTTCTGTGGTTACAGAGGTCAACTTCACTACCACTAGGGCAGGCTTGCGAGGACAGGTAACCCACATACAGTAATCCAAGTGCTTTTATAGTGCTATGACTCAGTGTGTATACATACACTGGCATGTACTGTATGTTTAAATCATACTATGTGTCCACTTGCTTATCTCTTTGTGTGTGCGTGTCTTCGCTTTAGCTGCTGGCCTTGACCATCCAGCAGGAGAAGCCAGAATTGGAGACGGAAAAAACCCGACTGCTACAACAAGAGGAAGACAAGAAGATACAGCTGGCTCAGTTGGAGGAATCCCTCTTAGAGGTACACATGCAAACATTTAGCATACGAAGATACTAAAGAAGGGGAGAATTCTAGGCTTTGGAATTATGGAGAAAAAACATAAAACGAAATAAACCTTTAACTGGGTTGAACATATTTGGTATGACACTTTAAATGGTAATTACCAAAATAGATATTCTGCTTACCCCCGCCCATCACTGCATGCCATTGTGAATCCAAATGTAATGTATCCTGTGCCATTTTTCCTCACCATGACCTCTTGATTTGTTAACTGGGTTGTCTCCCACATCACTTTTCTTTTTTTAAGCTAAAAATAATAGTGGCCAAATAAATTGGAATCTGCCTGATAATGTGTCGGATTTGCGTAGTAGTATTTAAACTTAAATTATGCATGATATTTGACTTTATTCAAAATACCAATGTTTGAGCACATTCAGTCTAGATCGAAAAATGTGTATATTAAAAAACTAAATATGACAAGAACAAAATATCCATAATTGTATTAACAATACAGTACGCCTGCAATTTGTGCCTTCAAAAGCAAAATGATGTACTTCGGTTAAACAGATGAAGCTTTAATCAATATATAATTATAAGACAATGTTGAACAAATGAGTGGATGACTTCCTTTTCTCCCAATTTAGAATGCACAGTTGCCCTCCCAATGAGTTAGATTGAGCCAATCCGCTGGCACCTTAGGCATGTCAGTGGGGAGTTAATTTTATTGCATTGCATTTCTTTTGACTTATTCCTGCACTTCAGACTTGTGTAGGAAGGTGCTAGATAATGTCACATCCACAGTAATGACAGCATGGAGCCGGAACATCATACAGTTAGTTGCTGCCAAATACTTAATGGGGCTCCATGTACTTACACGGCTTAATGCATATTTATAATCGAACACATACGCGGACATTGTGACACATAGACACTCAACTTAATGATCATTTTCCATGCACACAGTCTTAGGGGAATTTCATATACACACACACACACACACACACACACACACACACACACACACACACACACACACACACACACACACACACACACACACACACAGTGCCGAGAGCAGGATGTCAGTGCTTCAGTGGTACAAGACGTGCAATTATTCCAGAATTGCAGGAACATATTGGACTTGACATTTCCATGCTCCACTGCTCTCTCATATATTGTATTTGAATACATTGTGTCAGTTATTTTCAGAGAACGGATTCCACAGAATGAAGTTGGTTAGTCAAACTTTCTGCTTCTTGTGCATCGCCTTCCCTACCTCTCATTTCTCATTCTGTCTTTCTTATCGATTACTCTCTCTTCTTTATTCGTACCTGTTCGTCCATCCGTCGATCTTTTTCCCATTTCAGACCCTGGCTACATCTCAGGGTAATATCCTGGAGAACAGGGAGCTGATCGACAGTCTGAACCAGACCAAGGCGAGCAGTGCGCTGATCCAGGAGTCACTGCTGGAGTCACACAGGCTGCAGGCATCCCTGGACCAGGTACATCATGCGCACACACACACTCACAAATTCTGAAAAACAACATAAAAAAACAAGTTGTGGCCTGCCTGACTGCACCACTGTTTAACTATCTTTTTCATTCTAAAAGCTGTCGTGAAAAAGTGATCTCAGAAGAGAATCAGCATTAACGTGGATCCTCAGGGCTAACCCAATTCTTTTAAACTTGTTTGATATTGAAGAGGTATTATCTGGGTGATTACTTTAGTACTTTTAGAGGGCAACCACAACAGCCAATGAGAGGGACCAGGCGGAGCAGCTGTACAGGACATCTGTTAAGTGTCTTCTCATGTGCCTGGTTCAACCAATTTCTAAATTGGTTAAGAAGTTGTCCTCCTGTTTGTTATTTTTAAACTAATCCTTTAAAATGAATCCTCACCATATATCACATACTATTATTTGAAATCATGCCGTGTTAACTGGTGTTTGAGCACAAACTTTTCAGATCATGAGTAGTGAGTAGATAAGCACTCCGGCAGCCACTGGTAGTTACAGTAGTAGCACAGAAATCTGATTGCGCCGATGAAAAAGCAAGGAGCTTCTGTAGATGCATTACACTGTCCTGCTCTAGGGTGCAGTGTTACACCAGAACGCTTTTTTATAAATGTCTCTTATTTATTTCTCTGTCATATATGAACCTCAATGTTTGTTTCTATTATTTCATTTTTATTTGTTCTGCTCATGGTACGCAAAACCCAATGTACAATAATTGTCAACAAAACATGTCTCTACAAACACACCATTGAGCGAAAAGGAGCAGGGAGAAGAAAAAAAAATCTTATATGACCTGCCCCTTTCTAAAGAAAAAAAAAAAATATATATATAGAAATAGATGGTCTGCCCTTCATAATAATAATAAAACATTTACATAAGAGTATCTTAGGATACTAAGAGAAACACAAAAATGCTTATTTTCCACTTGAGGTTAACGGAAAGAAACAAAACAACAACACCCAAACATCACATGTATAAGGAAAAGGAAAAGTGCAACACCCTCATCTGAGTCCTACTGGAGAAGAAGGTGGAAAGCGGCGCATAATAATAATAATAATAATAACAATAACAATGGGACCTGCAAATAAAGAACAGACATCACATCAAAGACATCAAAAACATTTAGCAATGCAGGACCAGAGTACATAAACGTATTCACATTCTGCTTCATAGAGTCCCATTTTTCTTAATTTATACAATTTCTTTAACTGAAGAATACATATACAATTCTTTAGATCCTTCTGTTGAGAATTCCATATCACATGTCATGTCTTCTATAATTCTCTTTCTCTCCCTCTCTCTCTTTCTGTCTTTCTCTCTCTCTTTCGGATCTATCTCTAAACATTGTGTACACCACATTTCTTTGTATCCAAACCTACTCCATCCATCTGTGGAACTTTCTGTAACTCTATAAAACATCTTTGTTTTCTGTTGCTTCTTGTTTGTTTACTCTCTTCCCTTTCTATCTGTGGCTCCTTTGCGCCATTCCTTCCTTGTTTTTTTTTATTTTAGGAGCGGGATGCCTACCTTCCTCTTGCGGAGAGTGCCAGCAAGATGTATTTTGTCATCACAGACCTGTCAAGGATCAACAACATGTACCGCTTCAGCCTCGCTTCCTTTCTGCGCCTCTTCCAAAGGGCTCTTCAGGCCAAGAAGGTAGCACACAACTCTTGGAGTACTCACATTTTCATCCAACACAGCAGTGTGTTAACATCTCGGTTTTCAAAATTGTTGCAAATAACATGTCCTTGAACAAGAACCAACCTCAATAATACCATATCATTTTCTACACAAACAAATACAGCATTCACTAGATGAACGAAAATACTAACACAATAGATAACCTTTTCACATTGAACAGTTTTGTATAGAAGGTAACCACAGTAGTAGAAGATGAACATTTGTTATGAAAGCCAATTCATCTCCTATGGGAATCTGTCTTAAATACTAAAGCTCCTTTCCTAAAATCGCTTCCAGAGGCCTGTACTACGAAGTAGGGCTGGGCGATATGGTCTCTAAATGATATCGCGATATTTACTGACTATATCGCGATATACGATATATATCGCGATATTCTGAAATTTCCTCTAAAAAAAAAATAAAAAAATTTATTTAACCCCTTGATGTTTACAGTCACGCCAGTATGATGATTCTAGTAGTCCCTGCAACATATGTCTGCATTAAAAAAATCGACTAATAATGAAGAAAATTAACACATTTGTTGCAATAGTATGCACTAACTCCATTACTACTTGTACTACAACATTTGAATCATCAGTTCTTCCTCATTTTCCTCAATTGTTCATATTTGGTTTATGAAAATAATGATATTGTGGTCATTGTTCAAAAATGTCTGCTATTATTATGAGTAGTATTATTATTATTAGTATAATGCGCTTTC